ATTATTATCACACCGGCCGATTCCCACCAAGGCAGGGTGGCCCGAAAAAGAAAAACTTTCACCATCATTCACTCCATCACTGTCTTGCCAGAAGGGTGCTTTACACTACAGTTTTTAAACTGCAACATTAACACCCCTCCTTCAGAGTGCAGGCACTGTACTTCCCATCTCCAGGACTCAAGTCCGGCCTGCCGGTTTCCCTGAATCCCTTCATAAATGTTACTTTGCTCACACTCCAACAGCACGTCAAGTATTAAAAACCATTTGTCTCCATTCACTCCTATCAAACACGCTCACGCATGCCTGCTGGAAGTCCAAGCCCCTCGCACACAAACCTCCTTTACCCCTCCCTCCAACCCTTCCTAGGCCGACCCCTACCCCGCCTTCCTTCCACTACAGACTGATACACTCTTGAAGTCATTCTGTTTCGCTCCATTCTCTCTACATGTCCGAACCACCTCAACAACCCTTCCTCAGCCCTCTGGACAACAGTTTTGGTAATCCCGCACCTCTCCTAACTTCCAAACTACGAATTCTCTGCATTATATTCACACCACACATTGCCCTCAGACATGACATCTCCACTGCCTCCAGCCTTCTCCTCGCTGCAACATTCATCACCCACGCTTCACACCCATATAAGAGCGTTGGTAAAACTATACTCTCATACATTCCCCTCTTTGCCTCCAAGGACAAAGTTCTTTGTCTCCACAGACTCCTAAGTGCACCACTCACTCTTTTTCCCTCATCAATTCTATGATTCACCTCATCTTTCATAGACCCATCCGCTGACACGTCCACTCCCAAATATCTGAATACGTTCACCTCCTCCATACTCTCTCCCTCCAATCTGATATTCAATCTTTCATCACCTAATCTTTTTGTTATCCTCATAACCTTACTCTTTCCTGTATTCACCTTTAATTTTTCTTCTTTTGCACACCCTACCAAATTCATCCACCAATCTCTGCAACTTCTCTTCAGAATCTCCCAAGAGCACAGTGTCATCAGCAAAGAGCAGCTGTGACAACTCCCACTTTGTGTGTGATTCTTTATCTTTTAACTCCACGCCTCTTGCCAAGACCCTCGCATTTACTTCTCTTACAACCCCATCTATAAATATATTAACAACCACGGTGACATCACACATCCTTGTCTAAGGCCTACTTTTACTGGGAAAAAATTTCCCTCTTTCCTACATACTCTAACTTGAGCCTCACTATCCTCGTAAAAACTCTTCACTGCTTTCAGTAACCTACCTCCTACACCATACACTTGCAACATCTGCCACATTGCCCCCCTATCCACCCTGTCATACGCCTTTTCCAAATCCATAAATGCCACAAAGACCTCTTTAGCCTTATCTAAATACTGTTCACTTATATGTTTCACTGTAAACACCTGGTCCACACACCCCTACCTTTCCTAAAGCCTCCTTGTTCATCTGCTATCCTATTCTCCGTCTTACTCTTAATTCTTTCAATTATAACTCTACCATACACTTTACCAGGTACACTCAACAGACTTATCCCCCTATAATTTTTGCACTCTCTTTTATCCCCTTGCCTTTATACAAAGGAACTATGCATGCTCTCTGCCAATCCCTAGGTACCTTACCCTCTTCCATACATTTATTAAATAATTGCACCAACCACTCCAAAACTATATCCCCACCTGCTTTTAACATTTCTATCTTTATCCCATCAATCCCGGCTGCCTTACCCCCTTTCATTTTACCTACTGCCTCACGAACTTCCCCCACACTCACAACTGGCTCTTCCTCACTCCTACAAGATGTTATTCCCCTTGCCCTATACACGAAATCACAGCTTCCCTATCTTCATCAACATTTAACAATTCCTCAAAATATTCCTTCCATCTTCCCAATACCTCTAACTCTCCATTTAATAACTCTCCTCTCCTATTTTTAACAGACAAATCCATTTGTTTCTCTAGGCTTTCTTAACTTGTTAATCTCACTCCAAAACTTTTTCTTATTTTCAACAAAATTTGTTGATAACATCTCACCCACTCTCTCATTTGCTCTCTTTTTACATTGCTTCACCACTCTCTTAACTTCTCTCTTTTTCTCCATATACTCTTCCCTCCTTGCATCACTTCTACTTTGTAAAAACTTCTCATATGCTAACTTTTTCTCCCTTACTACTCTCTTTACATCATCATTCCACCAATCGCTCCTCTTCCCTCCTGCACCCACTTTCCTGTAACCACAAACTTCTGCTGAACACTCTAACACTACATTTTTAAACCTACCCCATACCTCTTCGACCCCATTGCCTATGCTCTCATTAGCCCATCTATCCTCCAATAGCTGTTTATATCTTACCCTAACTGCCTCCTCTTTTAGTTTATAAACCTTTACCTCTCTCTTCCCTGATGCTTCTATTCTCCTTGTATCCCATCTACCTTTTACTCTCAGTGTAGCTACAACTAGAAAGTGATCTGATATATCTGTGGCCCCTCTATAAACATGTACATCCTGAAGTCTACTCAACAGTCTTTTATCTACCAATACATAATCCAACAAACTACTGTCATTTCGCCCTACATCATATCGTGTATACTTATTTATCCTCTTTTTCTTAAAATATGTATTACCTATAACTAAACCCCTTTCTATACAAAGTTCAATCAAAGGGCTCCCATTATCATTTACGTATATTGTATGGAAACAAATTTGTTTAATAACTGAACAATGCTTCTTCTGATCGATTTCAAACCTTACAGTGGTGCATCTTAAAAAATATTTTGATTGTTACTGGTCTGTACAGGTGTCACTGTCAACTTTATTGAAAATGTGAAAATCAATTTTGTTTTTCTTGCCGTAACTTAAATACATAGTCCAATCTGCTTAAAACCTTAAACACTGATCTGTCTTACTTCAAGGAAACTTTGGATTGCTAGTAAACTATATGTGCTAACTTGAACCATTTTTACTTCAACCTCTCTATCTTGTAGTTCACATAAAGCATGAAAATTATAGTTTCTTCAAACTACAACCAAGTAGTATTTTTTCTTACAGGATTGTACCAAATTTTAAACATTATAATCATGGGGAGTGCTAAACCCGTAGGATTATACATCGAGTGTGGGGGGGGGGGTATGAAAGGTATTCAGGCTCAATTCAGGGAACCAGAGCACAGATCCAATTTCCTAGATCAAGAGCCCTTCACCAGCGTCAAGGAACCTCCCTTGCGGGGACCAAATTTAAAACAATGTAACCGGGTAAGGAAAACAGAAATGACGAGAACTCCCATTGTTATAAATTCAAAATTTTCATGAGTTTAGTAAGCCTTTATGTATCATTTTCCTATGGTTTCATTTAAAGTGGTATATACATATACCTAGTTCTATTCTTCCTTCGAAGTTCTTGAAAGGATGATGACAACAACATCGATGTTTTGCATTTTACCAATCTATGGTGTTGGTCGTTGCAAGAGCACAAAATCATCTTTCAATGGGCCCTAACAAGGGTAGGCTGTTTTCACCAGGGATATTAAATAAAATTATGAATGAATATGATATACAGTAAATGTGCAAGGTATTGTTCTGGGTATCTAGTTTAATCTTTACTGAACCAGTAGTATTTCAGCCACCACTTGGTTAAAACTGTATCTGTTTACTACATATAGCCTACTAATGGTACTCCATTAAAAATCTTGTGTTGAAATCCTTCTTATTTAATGCTGGAAAAAAAAACTACTCATAAAATTTTAAACTGTACAGTAAAATCCCACCTACAAAAATAATAGTAAATCTTGATATAGTGAAAAGACCCCCTACGAAATGGATTTTAGATGGAATGAATAAAATGTTTTACTGGGGAAATGCTTGATGCAAAAGTCAGTCTGCTGCATAAGATTTTATCTGTTAGCAGTAAGCTCTCCATACAATGGACTGTCTGTTGCACCCTGGTTTTGTCCAGTAGCAATAGTGTGCATGTCTGCTCCATACAATGGACCACAAATGTTGCGCTGGGCATTTCAATGCAACAGATTTTCATTTAAGTGGAAACCCCATCCTCAATTCAATTATTATACTAAGGTTTCACTGTACATATAATACTGTATAACATTTTAGCTTGGATTTTTGGAATGAGATTGTTTTACCAAAGAGGGAGCACTTGGAGAAATGAGAGGTAATCCGGCTCAATCCAAGGAAAGGATGGTCAGATCCATTTCCCTAGATCAAGAGCCTTTCGTTGGCAACAAGGAGCCTTCCTTGAAGGAATGAGATAATGTAGCATTTCTTAAATGCACCCCAGAAGGGAGGTTCCTTGATGCTGGTGAGGGGCTCTTGATCTAGGGAACTGGATCTGTTCTCCAGTTCCCTGAATTAAGCCTGAATACCTTCCACATCCCCCCCACAGGTGCTGTATAATCCAACAGGTTTTGTGCTTCCCCCTTGATAATAATAATAAAATTCTATATGCAGTATATGCATATATACCTCTGAAGAACTTCGAGAGTTTTACTACTCTCGGAGCCCGGCCGTGGGCCAGCCTCATCTGGTGCTTGCCTGGTCAAGCACCAGATGAGGAGACCCCCTGCCCCACATATCCATCACAGCCTGGCTGATCAGGCACCTGGTGAAGATACTTGTCCAGTTTCCTCTTGAAGGCTTCTACACTTGTTCCAGCTGTGTTTCTGATATCTTCTGGTAAGATGTTGAATAGTCTGGGACCCTGGATGTTGATACAGTGTTCCCTTATTGTCCCCACCACACCCCTGCTCCTCACTAGGTTTATTTTACACTTCCATATCTCTCACTCCAGTATGTTAGTACTGTATTATACAGTACTATTAAATTACTATGAACTACTGTACATAAAATCCTAATTTTGATCAGGAATTTTGAATATCCATTAGCAAAACTTTTTACATGACACCTCTTAGCACAAATTTCTCAGTTTCCAAAATTTGTGCATTTTTGTCCACTCCCTCTATTAATGGATATGGGAAAGTTGAAGATACAATGCAATCATAGAATCATTTATTCAAATTATTTACAAAGAAAACAGCATTTTCACAAAGCATTACTGAAAAACAGACTTCAAAATTCATTCACACGCATATAATGATATCAATGCACAAAAATTATGATCAATGTAATTTTAAGAAAATACAAAATTCTTATTTTATGATACATTTTATACACAATAAAAGTCTTCAAGTTTATTATCATTTACAAACAACTGTCACAAAGTTAAAAATTCAATTTTTTTTTTCAACTTAATTTTAAGAAGCCAAATCTGCTGGGCTAGTTTATTACATTTTCCTGTTTATTAAACAGAAGATAATAGATATTTCTCAAAACTTGCAAATATTGTGCCCAACAGTTTGGCATTTGAGTTATTGCAGAGCCAGAGCCAGCCTTTCAAACCCCTGCTGGTGCTACAACTATTCTGGCCAAGCATAAAATCCACACTGTGAACTACAGTATTTAAGTATTCAGCTCATTCAAGGGTCAGCTAACAATGGAGTCTTCTCTTGTGCACGCTGGAATGACACTGAAGGTGCAGCTTCACTGTCTGGAGGAGGCCTGCCCTGGAAAGGAACAGAGTGGAAAACTCCAGCTTGAGGACCCTGGGATACTGAAGGATTGTGTGGGGTGTCAGTGTACATGGCCCGGTGGCGGTGTCGCTGATGCAGCTCATGCAGATACAATGTACTGAGACTCATGTTTACAGCAGTGAGATCCTGAGGAAGTGGCGCCATTAAACTTCGACCAATAATTGATGAAGGGCCAATAGTACTAGGGGCAAGAACTGGATCAATAATGGGACCTGAAGTCATGGTACTTGTCCCGAGTGGACCCTCTACACTTGATCCCATTTGCTGTATGGATGATAATATTCCACCACTGGGACCATTGCGGGAACCTTCAACACGTGAAATCCTACCCCGCAGACCTATGGGTGGCCAGTAGGATTGTTGAAGCTGCCCACCAATCTGAGGTCCACCCATCATCCAGGGAGGGCGGAACATGCTAGTAGCTACCATACCAAGGCCATCACACGACAGAGAGTTCAAGGAAGAGAAGAGAGCATTTTCTTCCTGTAGTGTTGTTAGAGCATTCATATCTCTCTGAACTTGTGTTTTTAGAGCAGTAATAAAAGCAGAGGATTCTTTTGGAGGTCTCCATTTGGGATTTGTCATTGTGAAGTGAATGAGAGAAAGCTCAGTTTTGCCACCATCTGTCGTCATACCAGGTTTACTTGAGCTGTCTGGTTGGTTGAGGTCCTCTGACAGAACATCTGGCTGCCATGTTGGACTACCATGTCTTCTAACGTCCATTTGGGCGAAGGAGCAAACATCACCAACCCCAACAACTTCTACTGTAAAATTGCGATAGAAATCTACAATGTCTAAAGCTTTGAAACGCAGCCTGAAGATGAGAATGAGAGGGGTAATTATGGGTGACACTAATTCTTCCACTATGTGCACAGCTTTGTACTGGAATAGTTGAGAGAACTCCTGACGAACCCTGGATGTATGAGCCTTTTCTCTCCAGTGATCTGGGAGGTAATGCACCTCTGCCAAAACCCTCCTCAATAACAGTTCTGGGCAGAATACCAGATTTTCAGCAGGGATAAAGCCACGACATCCAGCAAGAACTGCCCCTAAAATAGTCATAAATGTCAACACATGTTCAACTTGTAAAACATCCTCATCATATATGCTCAAACCTGCCAAGACAACAAATAATGCCCCACATGCAAATGCAACATGTTTAGCAACTACAGCCATGATAGGAGAAGAAAAAATTGTCATGTATTGTGATGCAGCTTTATAGCCCCTGTTAAGACGTGCTGTCATCTCATGATCAAGTTCATTAAAATGCCGTAGGTACACTTCCCCATAATGAGACCAACGACGACTTCCCAAGCTACCAGGTTCACGTTTTATCATTTCTGCATAATTGAAGAGAGAATAGAGGAACTGGAAAATAAATATTAAAGGTGAGAGGACAAGATTTGCAATGCCAACATAGAGAAATCTTTTACTAAGTTCCTCTGCCAGCTCTTGTCGTTTCTCCAGTCTCTTATATTCATCACTTAAGTGCCAGTTGTTCTTAAATGGTGCCCATGGTCCCCAAAAAAGTAGCATTTCTATGTTGTAGCGCAGGCCTTTTGTGAGAAAGACCATTTCTCCAGAGAAGGGCATCTCAAACTTAAGTGGAATTATTTCTTTGTTGACCATTGCATTAAAGTAGTTGGTGAAGCGAAGAATTCTATGGTATATATCCAACTCTGTCAAAACTTCCTTGTGGATACACATACGCTGCTCAACCTGAAAACAAATTTAAGAAAACAAATTTTGAAAGAAAACAGTTGCTTATTTCAAACCTATCATTATCTAAATTAATTACTGAATATATATACTTTATATACACATACACAGTCAAGTAAATTATACACACACTATGAAGAAGGGTTGAGAATTATTTTAATGGTCTAGTTATAAACAATGAACAAAAATCAACCATCTACATAATGATCCATGTGGTCTTTAATGGGAAAACAAATAAAAATATACAGTAGATGTTGCAACTAGAGGGGTAAAAAAAAAGCTGAATGAAAGATACAATAATTTTAAGTGAATGGGAATGAAGTTTAACCCTTTGACTGTTTTCGACGTATAAATACGTCTTACGAGCCAATGTTTCTGACGTATATATACTCAATAATTCTAGCAGCTTCAAATCAAGCGGGAGAAAGCTGGTAGGCCCACATGTGAGAGAATGGGCCTGTGTGGTCAGTGTGCACCACATAAAAAAAATCCTGCAGCACACATTGCGTAATGAGAAAAAAAAAACTGATCGTTTTTTTGGAATAAAACGCAGACTTTGAGGTGTATTTTCGTATAGTATTTATCGTTGTATTTGCGTTTTCATGGTCTTAGGTGATAAAATGGAAAACATATTACAGAAATAGAGATGATTTTCATTACTTTGACGATGAAAACGACCTTGAAACTGAGCTCAAAGTAGCGGAAATGTTCGATTTTTACCAATGTTCAGGAGTAAATAAATCACACCACACGTCCAATACACGTCAACTGGGGAGTCTAATATTCTTTCACTAGTGCACTGATATTATTTATATCATTTTTACAATAATGCAGTAGTCTGCATAACAGTAAATTTTTTATTTTTTTTGTATGAATAAAAAATCAAAATAGAAAGCAATAATAATATAAGAGGGGCCTAGAGATGTGACTAATGAACAGAGCATATGTTATTTTAGTGCCACGAATGTCTACCTCGTTTATTCTGGACCCTATTTTGAAATTGGCATCTTTTTTAGTTTGCGTGAAATTGGCCAAATTGCCAATTTCTGACCACCATATTGGGTAGTCCAAATTAGTAAATGGGAGGTTTCTTGTACTCAGCTGATAGATAAAATGGAGTTCTAAAGAAATAGCTATGAGTTTGGTCAACTGGAACAATGGAATTGGCTGAAAATAGGGCTCAAAGTCGGCGAAATCGCCGATATGCATATGTCGCCGAGACAGCTAACTTTGCAGGAGCATAATTCCATGAGTTTTCGACCAAATTTCAAACTTTTGGTGTCATTACCATCGGGAAAAGATTCTCTATCATTTCAAAAGAAAAAAATTTGTTTTTTTTTTTCAAAAATTGAGCGACATAGAATGACTGTTTCAGGCCCCTCTCTGAAACTGTCAAAGGGTTAAAGGTACTGCAGATAAATTAGCATGAAGAGAGGTTCATAGCTACAGGAGCAGAGCTATACTTGTGGTGCCCAGTTTTCAGTATTTAGTATGGTAGAACTTTAACCACAAAACTGTTGACCACGTAGGTTTACATCAGTGGGATCAATGTCAGTAATACCGATTCAAACAAATCGTAGCATCCTCAAATTTGCTGAGCAGCAAATTTTGGCCTAGACATGAGAGAATGAGTATGGTAGGTGAATGCAGAATAAAACAAATTCTGTCCCATGCACTGCATGATGGGAACAGCTAATCTCTTACCCTGCTTTTGGGTTAAAATAGCAAATTTAAGAGTGGTTTTCATGGTTTTATTAGTTATTTCTGGGTTTCAATAGAAACTGGAAGGCATAATTGAGAAATGAACAAGATTTTGTTTAGTTTAAGACTGGAAATGGCCTGAAATAGGCTTCAAAATGGTGAGAAATGGCTGATTTTGCGAGTTTTTTTTTTTTATCTAAGGAAAGGGTAGTTCCCCTTACATCATGCCAGTCTGCTCTATGGATTTTTACTATGTAAGCTTCAATTACTGGGATGGCCTTCATGATAAAATATTCTAGGTTATGGTTTATTTGCCATGAAAGAGGAAAAAAATCTTCTATTTGTGTGACAATGGCTTCAAAATGGAGAAGCGAGTATTTAAGATTGGCTTGGTTTAGTGGCTGGAATGCCTACAGTTTTTGTTTTGGACCGATTTTAAATCTGAGTTTGTTGAAAATACACGTATTGCAAAACTCGCCCCAGTACCAAATTCTGGGTGCTTATACAGTATTCTGATCACAGAATTGATGAAGAGAAAATGGTTAGTGGTGCACTGAGGAGTCTGTGGAGACAAAGAAAGTTATCCATGGAAGCAAAGAGGGAAATGTATGAGAGTATAGTTATACCAATGCTCTTATATAGGTGTGAAGCATGGGTCATAGATGTTGCAACAAGGAGAAAGCTGGAGGCAGTGGAGATGTCATGTCTGAGGGCAATGTGCATTGTGAATATAATGCAGAGAATCTGTAGTTTGGAAATTAGGAGGAGGTGCAGGGTTACTAAAAGTGTTATCCAGAGGGCTGAGGAAGGGTTGTTGAGGTGGTTGGGACATTTAGAGAAGATGGAATGAAACAGAACAACTTGGAGAGTGTAGAAATCTGTAGTGGAAGGAAGGCGGGGTAGAGATCGGCCTAGAAAGGTTGGAGGGAGGGAGGTAAAGGAGGTTTTGCGTATGAGGGTCTTGGACTTCCAGCAAGCATGCATTAAGCATGTTAGATAGGAGTGGAGATGAATGGTATTTATGACTTGACATCATGCTGTTGGAGTGTGGGAAATGTAACATTTAAGAAGGAATTTAGGGAAAACTGGTTAGCTGGACTTGAGTCCTGGAGGTGGGAAGTACAGTTCCTGCCCTCTGAAGGAGAGAATGTTGATACATTGCAGTTTCTTAACTGTAGCGTAGGCACACCTCTGGCAAGACGAAGATGGAGTGAATGATGAAGATGAAAGTGTTTCTTATTTTATGGGTCATTCTGCCCTGGTGGGAATCAGGGTGTTTGAGCTGTTGAAAAGTAGTTAATTTAGACACTACAGCCTGGTCAATCAGGAATACTACAATTTTCCTTGAGGTCAAAGCCAGAGGCAGCATCTCACTACATCTCAACAACACAACCTCCCACATGTTATTACAGTATATATTATTTTCCATGGTTATTACTTTTTCAAATTCATTATTCTTTGATATATTTTCATTTGGCAGCTGTAGGTATGGAATTTCCATTTTTGGCAACAAAATGTTATGAAAATGTAGATTCTGGTGTAATAATGTTTACATTTACTAACGGGACCAGTTTACAATGTATTCCATAATTTTTGTTATTTCTTGGCACTGACTTTATTAATTCCGTCCCCTTTGAACATCGTGAATTTTGGAAATCAGCGATTTTTTTTCCGTCAAAATGTTGGCTTGATTTTAGTGATCTGGCTTAGAAATCAGCGGTCGTATGAAATGCCTCCTGTGTGTGTTTATGCTGCTGTATATACAGTATGTTATACTTTTCAAACAATGTACTGATAACATCATTAGTGAAAGCACTTTATTGTATACAATAGGTGGCAATTCATACATTGTGCATGATATGGGTCTTTTGGGTCACGAGCTACGGGAAAATGTAAAACATTAGAAAAACCTCAGAAAAAATGTAGCAATTGCTGATATTGCTGTCAGCAATATCATATTTTGTTAAGTACTGATTGGAAAAACTTTCTTTGTATCTTATTAGCACTGGAAAAGTGTGCTCTTTTTTCTGAAAATCTCTAACATTGTCAGCACTTAATTTCAGGGATCCCAACAGTGAAAGGGTGATGTCAGTGTGCAGACTTTTTTTTTTTTTTTACAAAAATCAATTTTACAGGCTAAGAGACATTATCCTACCACAGTTCATTTCAAAGCCCAGCCCTATCCAAGGAACCTTCTTTAAGAGGATTACAGTGGACCCCCGGATTATGTCATCATCAGAATAAGTAATTTTTTTTGTCAAAATAGTATTGGCTCGGTGATCGTCACTGAACTCTGAGTAAATCATTCGTCTGGAATGTGTCCGTGCGGCCTGAGAGGCCCGGACACTCCATGTACAGCCAGTGTGCCATTGTTTACCAGCCAGTGAGGACAATCCCATGTGTTCATGCAATACATTTTGTATTATTCCATTCTTTTTAGTGCTTGTAACTGCTAAATAAGCCACCATGGGCCCCAAAGAAAGCTTCTAGTGCCAGCCCTTTGGTAAAGAGGGTGAGAAACATGATAGAATTCAAGAAAGAGATCATTGCAAAATATTAAAGTGGAGTGTGTCACCGAGCTGGCCAGGTTGTATAACAAACTCCATACAACCATCGCTTCTATCCTGGCCAAGAAAAAGGAAATCAAGCAAGCTGTTGTTGCAAAAGGTGCAAATATGCTTACAAAACAGAGATCGCAAATACTGGAAGATGTGGAGGCTTTGTTGCTGGTGTGGATCAATGAGAAACAATTATCAGGAGATAGCGTTATACAGTCAATATTATGTGAAAAGGCAAAGCAGTTGCACTATGATCTCGTAAAGAAAATGCCTGGAACTAGTGCTGATATTGGTGAATTTAAGGCCAGCAAAGGCTGGTTTGAAATTTAAGAAGTGTAGTGGCATACACAGTGTGATAAGGCATGGTGAGGCTGCCAGTTCTGACAAAAAAGTGGCTGAAAAATATGTTCAGGACTTCAAGGGGTACGTAGAAGCTGAAAAATTCAAACCCCAACAAGTGTTCAATTGTGATGAAACAGGCCTCTTTTGGAAGAAAATGCCAGAGGACCTAAATTACTCAGGAGGAAAAGGCACTTCCAGGACACAAGCCTGTGAAAGACAGGCTAACTCTCATGTTTTGTAGTAATGCTAGTGGGGATTTCAAATTGAAGCCTTTACTGGTGTATCACTGAAAATCCCAGTGTTCAAAAAAAAGTGTCGTCAAGAGTAAATTGTGTTTGATGTGGAAGGCAAACAGTAAGGCATTTGGGCCCAGTGTGAAAAAATACCTCCTGGAAAAGA